GGGGCTAGGAGACTTCCAGATTTCTAGCTACAAAGGCAACTACTTGAGTCATTGGTTCTAATGAAAACTTCTTTGGGGCGCCTGGGTGGCTCAGTTGGTTGAGCGACTGCCTTCGGCTCAGGTCGTGATCTCAGGGTCCTGGGATTGAGCCCCACATCGGACTCCCTGCTCCGCGGGAAGCCTGCTTCTCCCTTTCCCACTCCCCCTGCTTGTGTTCCCTCTCTCGCTGTCTCTCTCTGTCAAATAAATAAATAAAATCTTAAAAAAAAAAAAAGAAAACTTCTTCATTGACCAAACACTGAAGAACTGTTACAGTGCATTCAAAAACCTAAGATTAGGTCACCTTCCCAGCCACTCTGGACCCAAAATTATTTCTGAACTAAGTAATTGTTAGCTTTGAAGAGGACTTTTATGACTAAGAGTGAACAGTTTATCAATATGGGTTCAAGAGCTAGTTATTATCTTCATTTTGGTGACATAACCTGCAGAAAGAATTGAAAAATAAAGCTGCCTTATGACAGTTGCAATTCTATTAAGTCTTGTACATTAGAAAAAACTAATTTATTTGGAGGCACTAATACAATTGGAACTATAAAGCCATTCTGACCATGTTTTCAAACAGTGTCTAAAAAAACAGCTCTAAATTGTAATCAATGCCTTATTGCAATTTTATTGTTATTAAATACAAATTCTGTATTCTCCCACATGGGGAACATTTTAAAGGTAATTTGTTGCATATAAATTATTTGCTAATTAATGGTCATCATTTCTCTCATGGACTCGCAATAGCTTGCAAATTGGTTTCTCACCACCAGTTTCAATCCCCTCCATTTCACCCTGGTCTATGCCAGTTTAAAAGAAGTGAACACAGGGTCACCTGGGGGCTCAATTGGTTGAGGATCCGATTCATGATTTTGGCTCAGGTCATGATCTCGGGGTCCTGGGATCTAGCCCTGCATCATCAGGCTCCCCGCTCAGCAGGGAGTTGGCTTGAGGATTCTCTCTCCATCTGCCCCTCCCCCTCCCCTCAGGGCGGGGGTGGGGTGGGGGAAGAAGTGAACACAAATTGATCAAACTGAACACAAATATATTGTCTTTCCCTTGCTTAACATATTTTGAATGGTGACTAATAATTATGGCATAAGGTCCAAACTCTCCTGCATATCAGTAAGGGGGTTAATGATTTGGACCCACCACTTCTTGCCAATTGACAGCTACCCCTCTAGCCTTACCAAATTTCTTATAAACTCTTGCCACATGCAGTTGTCTCAACCTGCAATGCCCTTTCTGTAGCTCAACTGGAAAACTGCCTCTAGGCTTCTAGAGAGTTCACGTAGTGTGTCCCACCTTCCCTGAAAAATTTCAAGTTGTTCCTTGGTCTCTGCCTTTAAAGCACCATGATCATCCAAGCATTAGCTTTTACCAATAGTTTTAAAAGTTTGTAAATGTGACTATAAGCTCCTGAAGCTAGGAATTTTGTTTTATGTTTGTACTTCCAGTACCTAACAGAGCATCAGCTTGAATTCAAGAATGGATGAATGGATACCTCCCTGCAGCAGTTCCAACCATTCTATAGGCAATTGATTGGTTCCCTTCCTCCATTCTCCTTTAATACTTTCTATATATTTCCAGACTCATAGTTAACTACTTTATATATCCATCTCCCCAGTATAATCTGTGATTAGAGACCATTCCTTCCTATTCTTGTAGTTTCTGGATCTAGCATATAATATGCCATCAGTAAGTAAAGGAGTGAAAAACTTGAAAGCATGCTTCTCAAGCTTGGGGGTGGCACTCTATTTAATATGTTTGGTGCCATACTCTTGATTCAAAAAGACCTGGATTTTTGTTTTTTAATGATATGGAAAGATGGACCAAAACTAGCCAAATCAAATTTAACATAAAGAGGTATAAAGCTCCAAATTTCAGTACACATTAGGTTTTTATTTCCAAGGTGAGAGACAACTGAATCAACAGTATGGCATGACTGGAAATAAAACACAGAAACCCACTGTTACAAAATAATAAAGCACAGCAGCTGGAGAAAGACAGTTGAGCCCTGTTATGCTATGAACTCTTCAGACATGTCTTGGGTGTTGTATAATTTATGGGGCACATTAACAAAATAGGAAAATTCCAGAAGTGGGTAAATGGGCTCATAAGTGGCCTGAAAACTACAAAAATGAGGAACCGTCAGAAGAATAGGAATGCTGGGCTTAGGAAAAAGAAGCAGGGAGAGCAGGGGAGACTATGCAGTGTGGGCTCAAGGGATACAGATCCCAGTTCAACCTAGTTTTGATTATTATTGCTTGTACATCTTCCTCATTTTACAAATGAGGAAACTGAGGACCAGAGGTTAATGGAGTTTCCCGAGGTCAGTCAGCTAACAGAGCTAGGACTCGACTCTGGTCCATTATACCAAGCTGCTGGAAAAGTTCAGCTTCTTTCTTTATTTTTAAAGGCTTATTCATTTATTTTTATTTTAGAGGTGGGGCAGAGGGAGAGGGAGTCTTAAGCAGACTCCATGCTGAACATGGAGCCTGAGGCAGGGCTTGATCTCAAGATCCTGAGATCAGGACCTGAGATGAAACCAAGAGTCGAATGCATAACAGACTGTGCCACCCAGGCACCCTGAGTTGGGTTTCTTTAAAATGATTATCCTAATAGCATTTTGCTCTTTTTTAAACTCCTAGTTGTATTTCCAAATGCACGTTCAGTACCTTGTAGATCCCAACTAGTTATGAGCCCTCTATTCATCAGTGGAAACATCTGGGGAGAAAACTCTCATCACAGATGGACAGGAAAGTCTTGTATTAGGTTGGACTTTAGATTTGAAAACTTCTTAGGTTACTTCATATACTAAGATTTCAAAATTCTATGATAAATTATAATTATTTGAATTAATGCATAGCTACTTTATAATTATGCAGTGTAGTTTTGGCTCTGGAGTCAGACTGAGTGAATTCCTGCTCTGCCACTCCAGCTGAGAGGCCTTGGGCACATTATTTAACCTCTCTTGTCCTCAGTATCCTCATTTGTAAAATGGAGATAATAATACTTAACACATAAAGTTATTGTGAGGGCAAAGAGCTAGCAAAAAGAACTCAACAAACATGAGTCTAGCTGTCTGTACGGGAGTGGAGGAGATTGTCAAAGGAAAATGGTATACAGTAAGAAGAGGTTTAAGGGCAGAACCATGGAGAACTCTAACATTTAGCTGGTGTGCTGGGCTGAATAGTATCTCCCCCAAAATTCTTGTCAACTGGAAACCTTATTTGGAAATAGGGTCTTTGCTGGTATAACCAAGTTAAATTGGGTTAGGATTAGGGCCTTAATCCAATGACTGGTATTCCAATAAGAGGGAAATTCGGACACATCCTATAAGAGATGCACAGAAGGAAAATGATATGAAAACACGGGGAAGAGCCCGTTACATGAAGACACACAAATGCAGGGAAGAAGTCCAGAAGGCCACAGAGACAGAGATTGTTGTGATACACCTAGGAACCAAGGAACCCCAAGGACTGTTGGCAACCACCAGAAGCTAGTAAGAGGCAAGGAAGGATCCTGTCCAAGAACTTTCAGAGAGAGCATGACTTTGCCATGGTCTTAATCCAGGACTTCCAGCTTCCACAACTCTGAGAATAAATTTCTCCTGTTTTAAGCCACCCAGTTTATAGTACTCTGTTATGGGATCCCTAGGAAATTAAGACAGTTGGTGAACAGTCATGGAAAACACAGGATGGGTGATAAAACTTCCTAGTTTCAAAATTGTTCCATAAATATAATTTCAATTGATCCTCACAAATACCTCGTGAAGTAGCAGTGACGTTTACAGAAAATGGATAAGCAGAAGTATTAGAAACTTGAAAGAAGGTGGCAGAAGAAACAGAATTGGAACCTGAGTGAAGGGTCCTATTCACTCTAACCCTGTTAAGCAAAATGCCTCATCCTTTTCCACTTTTTTTAAAGCTTCCTTCCTCATCACAATTCCAACTTCATCCTCTTACTTCTGGCAATTTGCTTTCAGGAAGATCACTGATGAATAAATTCTACAGTGAATTACATTCTCTAACCTCTTGCATTGTACAGCCTTAACTCTTATTATGGAAAGACCTTACCCACACAAGTAAGGAAGACATACTGGGGATGAACAAGTCATTCCTCTTCCTATAGTTATAGAGACAAGGTAGCAAATTATCCCACAAACTCCCATATCCATGGGCAACTTCAGCAGAAGAGAAGTAGAGCAGTGAAATGATAAACTTGTAAACAGTCCATGTTATATAATCCCGATTGTGTGCCCATACTGGCACAGAAAGATTTACTAACTTTTCTCGGATTACACAGGTTCTCAGTTTTAGAGTAAACAGAAACCCCTGGATCAATGTTCCTTCCTTAAACCACCCCGTCTGTTCCTCCAAAGATTCGCAGATGCCACTTTCACTGCTTTCTTTCGGATTAAAATTAAAACTTTCACACTGGAATGACCACCAAAAAAAGTTATTTAAACTCTCCGAGCTTCAGTTCACACAGGTAAGAAAATAACACTTATTGTCAGTATTTCCTGTGAAGCATAAATGATAGGCAAAACACCTGGCACAACAAATTTCGCCCCAAGACTACACAAAACCGTTTTGAGACTTTTATCTGTGTTCACTGGCCTCCACCTGAAGACCAGAGACTATCAGCAACCCCGCAGTAGAAGCCTCCGCCCCCGGCGCTATGTGAGGGCGTGGCCAGCGGGAAGGACCCGGTTGGCTCCGCCCCAGTCGGGGCGCCCGGCGCGCCTGATCGCTTCTGCCCTTTATCCCCCCGCACCCCGATCCGCGGCCGCCCGTGTCTCTTCTCCCTTAGTACCGGACACGGAGACGCCTGCAAGGATTTGAATCCGACGTGGAGTGAGGCAGAGCCGGGAACAGCCCGGGCCCGGCGCGCCGCGGCCACTCGAGGCCCCCGCCGTCGCCACGCCCACGCGCCGTCGCCCCGGCTCCGCCCCTCTGAGAGCAGAAACTTGTGGGGCCTGCATCGGAGCTCACCTTCTTACGGTGGTCTTTATTACCATGCCGTTGTATGAAGGCCTAGGGAGCGGCGGGGAGAAAACGGCAGTCGTGATAGACCTGGGAGAGGCTTTTACCAAGTGAGTGGCGACGGCGCTGACTGCGGTCGTCCTGAGGGGAGGGCGGTGGTCGAGGCCCGGCCCGGGTTCTCTTCCCAGGCTCACGGGGCAGTTTGCCACATCTCCATTTTTTCTCCAGCACCTCCGCAAATTACGGCCCTTATTATTTATTTTCAACATGGGCTATACGAGTCCCGGGGATCCGGTTCTGACTCCTGGAGAGGTCCAGGAGGCTTCGGGAGAATGGTTTTCGCCGCCGCCCCAGGTTGTCACCCCAGATTGAACGGACCCTTTGGTGTGATCCATGCAGGGGATGACAGCGATGGTTTAGACCTTGTCCTGGGCTTATCTGCTTAGGAATGTAGCAACCGAGAACTGTAACGTGAACATTTATTGAATGGAGCCTCTGTTGGTACCGGAGATTCAAATGTAAGACAGGGCCATTGCTCCACGAGAGTAGGAAGTCCAATTAGAGAGACGGAACACATAAACAAAGAGGTGAATCCCTGTAGGTAAGACTCGAGATCCTTTGTTGCTCCCTGCCCGAACTCTTAAATTAGGAAATTTGACATGTTTTAAAAGGCAACTTGTAAACACTAGTGGCTTTCAGTCTTTTGGATGGCATAGATCCCTTTGACGACCGAAAGAAAGCTACAGATACACAAACCTTAAAATATTTAACCACGGTTTCAGAGGTTAGCGGACGATCACCCTGGTCCTTGGACTTGAGGTTGTGAGCCCTTGTACTGGGCTCAAGAGGACAATAACAGAATTGCCTCTTGTATAGATATTTGAGATAGAAACATCTGAAAATCTTTATATATATCTGAACACTGCATAGTATATAGTAGGTATTTAATAATTATTTGTTGAATAAGTTGTCAAAACCGCCTAATTTAGGTGTTGGACCGCAGGTGCTCCAGAATTGGATAAAACACAGTTCTTGGTCCATGACATTCTCTTACTGTTCTATGCAAGATCCTCCCTTATTTATGTTTTCTTATTTTAAATGTTTATTTTAATAGCATAGTAAATACCTTGAGGCTGACACCCAAAGGTAATTACTCTGGCTATGAGGAAATGAGCAGAAAGTTACTATACAGGAAGATGATTATTGACAAATCAAGAGGAGGGTAATAAGATGAATTTATGAAGTAAAAGAAAGGAATTGAAGTCAACCAGTGGGCTGCATCCTGGGGAATTTGAGGAGCATTGGTGCAAGTAAACATGGAGATATAACTAGTAGAAGATGGAAAGAGCCATTTGGGAATAGGAGAGCAGTAATAGAAACTAGGCGGGATAAGAGATCATGTTAAGACGAAACTTACATGGTGATCATTTTTAGCAGAATTTTTAGAAAGGTTTTGTTTTACTAACATGAAACATACATGCAAATACCTAAATACTTTTTTTTTTTAAAGATTTTATTTATTTATTTGACAGACACAGTGAGAGAGGGAACACAAGCAGAGGGAGTGGGAGAGGGAGAAGCAGGCTTCCTGCAGAGCAGGGAGCTGGATGCGGGGCTCAATCCCAGGACCCTGGGATCATGACCTGAGCCGAAGGCAGACGCTTAACGACTGAGCCACCCAGGCACCCCAGGAGAACCATTTTTTTTAAGGATGAAATATGCGATTTTTAAAATAACAATGAAGACTATAATAATATGGGCAGAAGCTTATTGTATGAAGTTCATGACATTTGAACATCGTGATTATGTCAGATACGCATAGTGTAAAAAAATGACCAAAAGGAAACACGTAAATACGGAAATTAATATTAGAGTGATGAAATTATGAGTAACTCATGAATTATATAAGTGAAGTCCTATAACGTAGTCAGATAATCCAGGGTTGTAGAGATGTGTTGCCTAAAATTCAGGTATAATTTAAAACAGAAACACCTGGGTGGCTCAGTCAGGTAAGCATTTGCCTTCAGCTCAGGTCATGATCCCAGGGTTCTGAGATTGAGTTCCGCATTGGGCTCCTTGCTCAACAGGGAGCCTGCTTTTCCCTCTGCCTGCTGCTCCCCCTGCTTGTGTGCTCTCTCTCTCTCTAATGAATAAATACATAAAATCTTCAAAAAAAAAAAAACTGAAAAAAGTACATACTGGTCTGAAATAATATACTGGTTTATTTCGATATCACTAATTTGAAACAATGTTTTACCTGTAATACACAATTATGACTATAGATGGCATTAACTTTTTCTTAGTTTCTTTGTCCCTTTGAATACATCAGAGATGTTTCCATATGTTTTTGTGACCACTGCTTTGAAACAAATGCAGAAAAACTTGTTTCTGTGACAAATACATAGAAAGAATGTTACAGTAAATTGAATGTTTCAATTTTCTGTTTATTTTCAGGTGTGGATTTGCTGGAGAAACTGGTCCAAGATGCATAATTCCTAGTGTGATTAAAAAAGCTGGTCTGCCTAAGGTATTTACTTTTTTAACAATTTAGTAAAACAAATGCTGTACTATAAAATACTTTTTAATGTGACTTCAAGTAAGATTGATTAGAACAGTGCTAAATATGTAACTTATGACTGTATTCCAAGAAAAAATTTTTAAATCTTTATTTCATTTTAAGTTTCCTACCAAAGCTAATTTGACCAACCAGGAATTGTAGAGCAATAGGAAGAATAATTTTGCATGCCATAAAATTCACATGTTAAAATCAAATACAGATGCTTCTGCCATAACTTAATATTTGCATTCCTGAAAAACCTCCTTTTTTTTTTTTAAAGATTTTATTTATTGATCTGACAGAGAGAGACACAGCGAGAGAGGGAACACAAGCAGGGGGAGTGGGAGAGGGAGAAGCAGGCCTCCCGCCAAGCAGGGAGCCTGATGTGGGGCTCGATCCCACGACCCTGGGATCATGACCTGAGCCGAAGGCAGACGTTTAATGACTGAGCCACCCAGGCGCCCCCCTGAGAAACCTCCTTTCCATCACAAATAAAAGTAGGCTTATGGTGGGGCAGACCTTATAAAACCCACGTAATTTTGTAATTACAGCACTAGCAAAAGTAATAACTGATTCCTCAGAAAAAAAATTAGGATAGCTTTGGCTTGCAACTGAGAGTGGCTGGAGGCTCTCTCAGGGATATTAAAAATAAAATGGAATAATGGATTGAAAATGTTGGTCAGTGGGTGCTGAGCCAATGCAGATGGCAGTCAGTTCTGAGCCAGTGGGGCTATTGTTAAGGTGGAACCAAGAGGAAATGCAGCCCAATAAAGAGTCATGAAAGGGTCTGCTTTGGGAAGGGAGCCCCTGCTACAGAAGATCATTTAAGCGTTTGAAGATTTTTTTTTTAAGATTTTATTTATTCATTTGAGACACAGAGATAGAGAGAGAGAGCATGAGCAGGGGGAGAGACAGAGGAAGAAGGAGAAGCAGGCTCCCCGCTGAGTCAGGAGCCCGCTGAGTCAGGAGCCCGACGTGGGGCTCAATCCCAGGACCCTGGGATCATGACCTGAGCCGAAGGCAGACGCTCAACCATCTGAGCCACCCAGGCGCCCCAGCTTTTGAAGATTTTATTTATTTGAGAGAGAGCGTGTGTGTGTGTGTGTGTGTGTGAGTGAGAGAGCAAGAAAGAGCACGCACGCATAAGCAGGGGGAGGGGCAGCCTCCCTGCTGAGCAGGGAGCCCTGCACAGGGCTCTATCCCAGGACCCTGGGATCATCCCCTGAGCCAAAGTAGACCCTTAATGGACTGAGCCACCCAGGGCCCCTCATTTAAGCTTTTGAAAAATAGATCTTAAAGGATGCCTATGTGTGTGGCCACTTTTTTTTTTTTTAAAGATTTTATTTATTTGACAGAGAGAGAGAGAAAGATCACAAGTAGGCAGACAGGCAGGCAGAGGGAGAGGGAGAAGCAGGCTCCCCCACTGAGCATGGTGCCCGACGCGGGGCTTCATCCCAGGACGGGATCATGACTTGAGGTGAAGGCAGCCGCTTAACTGACTGAGCCACCCAGGTGCCCTGACTTTCTTCTTCTTGATGAAAGTTATAACTCTGCTATCATTTCAGCTCCTCTTGTCTAACATGAACTAATACAAATTTCATATTATGTAGATAGTATTCCCTTATTTAGCAGTGGAAATATATTTGGTTTTGTAGAAGTACATATTGTAGCAAAATAGATTAGTACATCAGTTTATATTTGGTAATGGGATGCATCTTTAAGATAAGAAGAAATACATTGATTCACAAATCTTTTTAATGTATGCTTGATTAGGGAATCACTTTATTGATTTCAAAATTTTCCAGGGGTGCCTGGCTGGCACAGTCGGAAGAACATTGCAGCTTTTGATCTCAGGATTGTGAGTTCGAGCCCCATGTTGGGTTTAGAGATTACTTAAATAAAAACTTAAAAAAATTAAATTGGGGGGGCACCTGGGTGGCTCAGTTGGTTGAGTGGCTGACTCTTGATCTCAACTCAGGTCTTGATTTTAGGGTCATGAGTTCAAGCCCCATGTTGGGCTCAGTGCTGGTCAGGGAGCCTATATGAATGACTGAATGAATGCTGGTCAGGGAGTCTATATGAATGAATGAACGAATGAAGCCTATATGAATGAATGAATGAACGAACGAAAGAAAGATAGATGTATACAATTTTTTTTCCCCGCAAATCCTTGGATAAGCTAGAAATGTAGTAGGTACTTGTGGTGTGTATTCAAAATGTGATAGAAGTTCCTCTCTGTTCACTTTTCATGTTCTTTTGCTTTATAATAATTGAGGTTAATGTGATACTTGATAAATTTCTAGAGAGATTCCTGACTGGACTGAGAACTTTAACATTCTCATTGATATTTTTCTTAGTGCTTTCAGCTTTCATATTCATCTTGAAAAGATAGATATATATTTGAAGATTAATCTATAATCAGCCATACATGGTTTGGAACTTTCTTTAAGCTACATAAAATCGTGAAATTAGCTGAGCTAATGGTCTTCCCACTAAAAGTAAATGAAGAGAGGTCTGCCAGTGATGCATCAGAGTACTTAGAGCTTTCTGAGGATCATAAGTAAAGTCCTTGTTCTCTATTGGTGTTGACTTAGCACTCATGGTTTGGTAGTGTTTGCATATACTGTTTAGTGCTGTTTTTCACCACACATTTGTGAGCATGTCCTTTGTGCCTGGTACTGTGTCATTTGAAGGAGGATATATCATAAGCAAACTAGGAACAGTTCTTGCACCTTAGAGTATGTAGTCTAATGGGAAGGTAGACATTTTACAAGTAATTAAGTGGGGTGATCTTACAAAAGGGAAAGTGTTATTGCTTTAGGTGTGACTTACAGGGACTGGACCAACTCTGGAGTGTTTGAGGAAGCTTTTGATACTTTTTAATCAGTGGTTTTGATCAGTCCTGCCAAAATGGTATGTCCAGATGGAGGAAAAATGCAAATGAGCATAGCTTTCTACTTGTGGACACATACTTTTATCCCCACAAACCAAAAAGTTCTGTTATCTTAGGCCCATTCTTTTTTTTTTTTTTTTTTAAAGATTTTATTCATTTATTTGACAGAGACAGCGAGAGAGGGAACACAAGCAGGGGGAGTGGGAGAGGGAGAAACGGGCCTCCCCCCAAGGAGGGAGCCCAATGTGGGACTCGATCCCAGGACCCTGGGATCATGACCTGAGCCGAAGGCAGACGCTTAACGACTGAGCCACCCAGGCGCCCTCTTAGGCCCATTCTTAAAGATTCCTAATTTGGGACACCTGGGTGGCTCAGTTGTTAAGCATCTGCCTTTGGCTCAAGTCATGATCTCAGGGTCCTGGGATCGAGTCCCGCATCAGGCTCCTTGCTCGGCAGGGAGCTTGCATCTCCCTCTCCTTCCGCTGCTCCCCCTGCTTGTGCTCTCTCTCTGACAAATAAATAAATTAAAAAAAAAAAGGTTCCTAATTTAAGTGATTTATTTATGTTTAATGTTTGCATTTATTCCCAATAAAAATTACTTGTGATTTATTACCAGAAAATGCATTAGTACAGTAAATAAGCATGTTTAAATTTAAGATTATTTTGTTATTTTAAATTAATAAATAATTTTAATTTTTTATAGCCTATCAAAGTTGTTCAATATAATATCAATACAGAAGAATTGTATTCCTACCTAAAGGAATTCATCCACATACTGTATTTCAGGTAAGATGCAGTTGTGTTTGTTTTTCCCCCCCAGCTTTTGTGATTAGATTTTCCTAATGCCAGTCATAGTAATATTTGGTTGTGTTTCATCTGATGTAAAAAAAAAAGTTGACCTCCACTGCATTTTTACTTGCTTATTTTCAACCTTTTCCAAAATGTATTTGAAGACTGGATAACTGGCAAGCATAAGGAGATGCTGAAAACAAATTAAATGTTCATTAACAAAGGGCGTTGGATAATTAAATTATTATATATCCATATAGTGAAACACTTTACAGCCATTAAAAGAGTTCTGAATCTATTTGTAGTCATACAAAAGGTGTCTTAAATATATTGATAATTGATAAAAGCAAGTTTCAGAACATCTGTGGAATAAACAGTTCTGTTAAAATACATTCATATGCATGGACTATAATGACAATATATAAACTGCTCTAAATGGTAGTTTCTGGCTAGTAGAAGTGTAAGGTATTTGTACTTTCCAGGTTATAAACTTCTGTTATATTTGGAGTTTTATGAACACATATTACTTTTGTAACCTAAAAAAAGAAGAAAATCTTTTTAATGACTCAAGTGTGTATTCGTACTAGGCTGTAGCTTTTGTTTACTGAGATAAATGAAGTAACAGATGGAAAGATACTGACACAGTACATAGCACTTAATAAGAGTTCAGGAATGTAACGTTTCCTGGGTAATAAAATAAATGTGTCTTTTTGTCATAAAACAGCTTGAGCTAAGGTAGTAGAGTTTCTCCTTTCTTAACAAAATTGCATTATGTGCCAAAATAAATACCAACTTTCCTTTACTTTCCTGAGTACAAATCATCACTTTCCAGGCACCTGTTGGTGAACCCTAGAGACCGCCGGGTTGTGGTTATCGAGTCAGTGCTGTGTCCTTCCCACTTCAGAGAGACACTCACCCGGGTTCTTTTCAAGTATTTTGAGGTACCTGTTTTTTATGTTGTTTTTTATAGGTACTAAAACTGAAACTAAAAGGTCCTCGTTTAATTTCCTTCCTTATATATGTTTTACACAGTGCCTTTGAGAAACCAGATGAGCGTAAACTCAAGGCATTTTAAATTGACCATTTATTTTCTTTTCTTTGTATGGTTATTTCATGTGCAATCAGCCTTTCACCCAATACTTAGGTAACTGACAATTTCTTACTGATATTTCTGTTATTTATTTAACATAGGTTTTTTTTGTTTGAGGACTTTTTTGGAATTAAAAGATATATTCTTGGCTGTGGAGTTCATAATGTGTTTTTTTCCCCAGGTCTTTCTAGTTTCTGTTGTTTAGTTATGCTGACTGTTCTAACTTCTTCAGTGCCTTCATTTTAGGCTTTATTTACTTACTTATTTATTTATTTATTTTTAAGATTTTATTTATGTATTTGAAAGAGAGAGAGAGCGAGCATGAGCAAGGGGAGGGGCAGAGGGACAAGAAGACTCCCCTCCGAGTGGGGAGCCCCATTGTAGGGCTTGATCCCAGGACTCTGAGATCATAACCTGAGCTGAAGTCAGACATTTAACTGACTGAGCCACCCAGGTGCCACCTCCATGCCTTTTTCAATGTCTTTACTTAGAACTATACCCCGCCCTGCCCTCTCACACAACCTTTAGGTAAGGGAAATATGGCCATTATATTTTAGCATTTGTTTATAAGGACTTTCATATTTTGATTGAATATTTATCTGATATTTGGGGTATCACCCGATCTGGCAAATTCTCACTGAAAAATGTCACACAGAGTTAAGGATTTTTATAGCTCTTCAATTTAATTTTAACTGCTATATTATGTTTTGTAAAAATAGCATTCATATTACAAACTTTGTGAATAAAGACAATCAATCTTTTTCTTAATTTTCATTTTGATGGCAAAGACATCTATTTTTTTTAATTTAAGCATCTTTTTTCGAATTTATGTTTTTTTTACCTCTTCTTTTATCCCTTTCATTTTTCCCTCCAAAAGAGAGAGAACAGGGGCGCCTGGGTGGCTCAGTCGGTTAAGCGTCTGTCTTCGGCTCAGGTCATGGTCCCACGGTCCTGGGGTCAAGCCCTGCATCGGGCTCCCTCCTCCACGGGAAGCCTGCTTCTCCCTCTCCTTCAGCCTGCTGCTCCACTTGCTTGTGCTCTCTCTTTCTCTTTCAAATAAATAAAATCTTTTAAAAAAGAGAGAGAACAAAAATTGTAAAAAAAGTTTCATAATTGTCATTTTGGAATAAAACAACTTAGAGAATTTAAAGGGTTCTTATTTATTATGGTATATTTCCATGATTGTGTAAATTCAGATAAATCAACAAACTAGATCTTGGCACCATAAAATGGTTGAAAGGTATCATAAATGTAATGTTACTGTGAATTTTTTCAAGTATATTTGAAATATATGGGAAACACCTTCAACTACTCCTGGTTTTGTTGTTGTTATTGTTATTTTGGCTTTGTTGTTTTCTAGGTTCCATCTGTCCTGCTTGCTCCAAGTCATCTAATGGCTCTTCTGACACTTGGGATAAACTCTGCTATGGTCCTGGATTGCGGATATAGGGAGAGCCTGGTGTTACCTGTATCTTTTTTTGTCAAGCAGCTAATTTTTCAGTTTTTACTCTACTTTAACATAATTAAGCTTATTATAAGTGGTTTTCATGGAATGAAACTATTTGGGGTTGCCATATACAAATATAAATTCCCATGTGGAAAAAATTCACAGGATTGTGAGACTTAAATTTTGTAGAAATTACCATTATGACTTGGTCCTGGTATGTACTTCAGAGGTCAGACCTCATGAATATTATGTTCAATTTTTAAGAGGAACATTAGCTAATTAGGTTGTGTCATAGTACTTGACTACCTTAGTCAAGTTCTAAGAAAAGATCATACAAAGAGTAATTGGAGAAACTGAAATGAGAAAGTTAAATCAAAAATTAAAACACAAAATCTGCTTTCAAATAGCTGAAGGGCTTGCTGTGGAAAAGTAAGTACACTTTTTTTCTTTTTCTCTCTATTTCCAGAGGCTATCATTGGAGGCACAGTAGGGTATAGGGTTTATGATTTTGGTTTTGGAATCAGCTACACACATAAGTGGTAATTCTTGGCAATGCTTCTTACTAGTTGTATGATGTTAGTCAAGTAATCTCTTTGGGCCTCAGTTCTCTCATCTGTGAAATGGGAATTATAATAATTCCACCTCATGGAGGGGATATTGTGTGACTTGAGTGAGACAATGTATGTAAAGTATTTAGCATATGACCTGGCATGTAATACTTGCTTAACAGTGCTCTAGTTTTATATCATTCACCACTGGGAAGAACTTCCTAGTAATTCAGGCTGTCCCAAAATGGAATTAGTGACTATACACTGATGCATTCCTTGTCATTAGAAGCATGTAAGCCGAGTATAGGTAAAGGCTCTTAGAAATGTTAATAGTGAAGGCGCCTGGGTGGCTCAGATGGTTAAGTGTCTGCCTTCAGCTCAGGTCATGGAGTCCCACCTCGGGCTCCCTGCTCAGCGGGGAGCCTCCTTCTCTCCTGCTCCCCCTGCTTATGCTCTCTCTCTCTCTCTCTCTCTCTCTGTCAAATAAATAAATAAAATCTTTAAAAAAAAAAAGAATTGTTAACAGTGGATATTGCTCCATTGAAAAGGACATTGAAGTATTTAAGTGCATGACTCAGGAAGTTTTGAGATCTACATATGTATGTATTAGAAGAAATACTTGGGGGAGTGAAATCAAGAATCATTAGCTCCTAAAGAACTAAATTAGGTAATAGTTTTTAAAATATAAAGTATTTTCTGGGGCACCTGGGTGCCTCAGTCGGTTAGGTGTCTGCCTTCGGCTCAGGTCTCCCAGGGTCCTGTGATTGAACCCCACGTCGGGCTCCCTGCTCAGCAGAGAGCCTGCTTTTCCCCCTTCCGCTCCCCCTGCTGGTGTGCTCCCCCCCACTAAATAAATAAATAAAATCTTTTAAAAATATATATGAAGTATTTTGTGTTTAAGTCTCGTAACAGTGGGGCCCCTGGGTGCCGCAGTCAGCTGAGCATCTGACTCTTGGTTTCGGCTCAGGTTGTGATCTCAGGATCGTGAGATTGAGCCCCACCTTGGGCTCTGTGCTCAGAGTCCACTTAAGATTCTCTCTCCCTCTTCCCCTCCACCCTTCAAATAAATAAATCTTAAAAAAAAAAAAACCAAAACCTCATAACAATCCTACAACATAGGTATTATTCTCCTTGTTATATAAACCAGAACATTGAAAGTTGGGGTAGATGGTGACCCAAGGTCATATAAACATGTAGCCAAGATGTATAACCCATGTTTGTTTCCAAAGCCAATGTTCTTCCAATATACTCTTTCCTTTTTTATAAATATTGTACTTATATACATCAGGAAAAACAATATGGAAAATAAGGTAACAAATCCACAGTATAGTAGTGTTCACTCCTCTCAGCTCTAATAGGAATACAATGTGAGACATATATGTAATTTAAAATTTTTCTAGGGTGCCTGGGTGGCTCAGTTGTTAAGCGTCTGCCTTCGGCTCAGGTCATGATCCCAGAGTCCTGGGATCGAGTCCTGCATCGGGCTCCCTGCTCAGCCAGGAGCCTACTTCTCCCTCTCCCACTTCCCCTGCTTGTGATCCCTCTCTCGCAGTGTCTCTCTGTCAAATAAATAAAATCTTAAAAAAAAAAATAATAAAAAAATTAAAAAAATAAAATTTTTCTAAGAGCTACATTTTTAAGAGTGCAAGTGAAAAATGAAGTTACTATATTTTATTTAACCCAGTATATTCAAAATATTATCATTTCAACATAGAAACTGTATAAAAATTATAATGAGGTATTTTATAGGATTTTTTGTATGTGTGTATTAAGTCCTCTAAATTTGGTATCAAGTTTGTTCTTATAGAACAGCTCAATTCAGACTGGCCGCATTTCAAGTAGCTACTTTATTAGACATCCTCGTTTTAACTAATGAATTCTGTGTGTGTGTTTGTGTTTAACCTTTTTCTTTTCTTTTTTAATTTTATTTATTTGAGAGAGAGAGTGAGTGAGAGAGAGAGCACAAGAAGGGGTAGGGTCAGAGGGAGAAGCAGACTCCCGGCCGAGCAGGGAGCCCGATGCGGGACTCGATCCCAGTATTCCGGGATCATGACCTGAGCTGAAGTTAGTTGCTCGACCAACTGAGCCACCCAGGCGCCCTGTTTAACCTTTTTCTTTGAAGAAGAATATGAAAAAAGACTGATTTTTCTGTAACTCTTTAAAAAATATGAAGAATTTGTTACCAAAGTTGACTTAATACTGCAGAAGGTGAGGAAAGTATCAAGGAAGCCATGTTTTATCTCTAAAATAGTTGTATCCTTAACTGCCCTATAGATATATGAAGGAATCCCAGTACTAAATTGTTGGGGAGCACTCCCCCTAGGAGGAAAAGCTCTTCACAAGTAAGTGTCTTGGGATTTATCACATTTGCTCCACCTGTACCACAAAAACATGTTAATTTTTTGACAGTGATCAGTAAAGGGTAATATGGACGTTTAATGTTATTTAGTCCATTTTCTATTAGCCTTGAATGTATTCATCTTTTAAGGATAAAACCACTTTTTTTTTAAGATTTTATTTTTTTGACAGAGAGAGACACAGCAAGAGAGGGAACACAAGCAGGGGGAGTGGGAGAGGGAGAAGCAGGCCTCCCGAGGAGCAGGGAGCCGGATGCGGGGCTCGATCCCAGGACCCTGGGACCATGACCTGAGCTGAAGGCAGACGCTTAACGGCTGAGCCACCCAAGCGCCCCAGGATAAAACCACTTTTGTTTAAAGCATTATAACCTATTATGTAGTAAAATATTAAGAGAAGGATATCAAGTACAATATTTTAGTTCCAGTAACAACTATTTTTTAATTTCAGGGAGTTGGAAACTCAGCTACTGGAGCAGTGTACTGTTGACACAGGTGCTGCTAAAGAACAGAGCCTTCCCTCTGTGATGGGTAAAACTATTTTAAACTGTTTAAAGTGGTTTACATTCCCTTGTTGTTCTTTGACTCATTTGTTTTCTACCTCATTGTATAGTTACTCTCTTTTCCCTCACATCACTGATGTCATTGCTCCAATTATAAGGTCATTATTGACCTCTTAATTACCAAATCCAGTAGTTTAATTTTGGTCATCCCTTTTAGAACTTCTGACATTGTGGATTATCATATACTTTTGATGTTATCTCTTCTCTTTGCTTTCAGGACTCTGTTCCTTTTATGATGTTCTATTATTATGTGATGTTCCTTGGTTTCCTCTGCTCTTGCTTTCTCTACTGAGATTCTCGTAGGCATCTGGTTTTCATTTTTTCTTCCACTGGCTTTTTAAAAGTGATCTCATCTATTTTTATAACTTCAGCTACGTCAATATGCAGTTGATTCTCAAATGTATCATTGGGCCTGACCCTTCTTGATATTCCTATCTCCAACTGATTTTTAGATGTAAACTAGGCATGTTTAGGTATCTCATACTTAAGACCTTCAAAAAGTGAATACATTATCTCTTCTTCCAAATTCATTTCAACAAATCATTCTCAGATAAAGATGATATCTTCCTTATCTCCCATTTTAGAAAACTGGAGTTAAAAGTCCTTTCGCTTCTCCCTCAGAAATCTCTTAAATTTCATCTCTTTTTCTCTATCATCTATACTACTGTACATCTGAAAACAAAGACGTTGTAAACTGACCCTCATTATTTCTTGCTTGGATTATTATAGGAGACTCTTTGGACCGATTCAGTATTTCATACTGTTGCCAGAAATAACTTAATACAAGTCTGATTACACGGCTTAAGGATTTTTGCTGGCTCCATAGCTTAAAATGCAAATTATTTGCTTGATATACATGTTTCTTCCCAATCTGACTTTTTTTTCTGCCTCTTAGCCCTAAACTACTCAACCTAACCCTGTGTACCTTACGTCAGCTACGGTAAATTTCATATAGTCTTCTAGGCTCCACTAGTCCTCCCACAACCCTGAGCGTTTATTTATTCTCTTTCTTTGCCTGGGATGTTGGGTTTTTGATCCCTCTACATGACTCAGCTGGAATGTCATTTTATTACAAAGCCTTCCTCATTTCCCCTGAGGAGAATAAATTTCTCCCCTCTCTGTTAAGTCCTCAGTAGTATTTATTATAGCACATATGACACATCCTCACTTGCCTGTTAATTCACCTTTTCCCTTCGTAGACTTTTGAGGATCCCTGTCTTAGTTGTTTTTCGATCAGTAGCACTTAGTATACTACCTGGGCACTGAATAAATGTTGGAAAGAGAAAGGCAGGTTTTTAGGACATTTATCCTTGTGTATATTGTTTTCCAATTTTTCTTTTAGTAGTTAAGATAATAGCATTCTCTATGCTATAGATTAGATTATAATTTTTCTTTTCAAGATAAACTTTGTTACTTTTTCAGTATGTCATGAAGACAGTTAATTTATAAAAAGTGTCTAAAGATAATGGGTTTGTGTAGCATCCCAAGATATTTTTAATGAAGGTCTTCTTTAAAACTGATTATAACTTATCCTTAAAATTCTGAACTGTACATTCTTGGACACCGTTTTTTAACCAACCACCATGGACTCTGTAATCTTTCTCTCACATAATCCCCAAAATCTGAGTCTGTGATAGCCTTGTAGTCCTACTAATTGTGGAATTAAATCATATCATTGTTTGCTGAATGACATGCTTAGGAGGATCAGAAATGCAAATACATTTGTAACTAAGTGCATATTTTATGTATACTTGGGTATCCTTAAATGAACTCTGAATGAGCTTTTTTCATTTAGTATTTGGAACCTAGTTCAAAAAGAATAAATATACTTTAGTATATACTTTATAATATACTTTAGTATATAGTAACTTATAAAGGCTAACCTAAGTACATTGATTTGAAAAGTGTACAGTTTTAAAAATAAATTATATATAAAAATATTACGCTTCTTATTCTCCTAAATTAACCAAAATTTAGATATGATTGTTCAGAGCCAGAGACAATGAATACCTCTTGTTTCTATTTCTTATTTGAGAGATTTAAATAGTTGTTATTATTCACTAAGATTAAGGAAGCCCTTCCCAAAGCCGCATCTACCCCCAGCTAAAATAAGCCCTTTATTTTCAAGCCTGCTTTACATGTTGCCTAAAGAATACTTTTTCATATTACCAAATTTGTGTTATGTTGGAATTCATCTGAATATCCTTAAAGAGTATATAGCAGTTATGAAATGCTATAGTTTTTAGCACTTATTGTTAATTTACAGGTTCCTATAATCTAGTTACATTTCTCTCATCTCTTTATAGCCAAATTAAAATTTTTTTGGAAATCTCTGTCCTTTTGTGAGGTGAATTTCAACACATAAGGATAGAAGTCTTCAGACTTTTTGATCACACACTAGCTACATCAGTAAAAAACTTTGGAGCATGTACCCTCAATACATATATATGTTTATTTATAAATTATATGCATACTATTATTGCTATATTATGAAACACAAAAGTAGGAATTTGGAAAGGATGAGATAATGATAAATAATAATTCTAAAGTTGTACTTACTAATGCTAAAAGTTTTTTGCTCCTCAAAAAAGCAATGTGATTAATATCATTTATTATTTTTTTAAAGGATATGGCTTAACATTTTGAAGGTGTGGCTTTTAAGTTTAACTTATAGTAATACTTTGTTTCAGTGGCTGTCATACCTTAAAAGATATAGCTAACAAGGTATGTACGTTCTGATGGAAGAAGTGTATGAGTACCCTTATGAAATCATGATTCCATTTTCAGCTATAAATTTCTGTCTTCCTTGATGTAAATAATTTGTTTTTATAAATCAGAATATTTTTACATATTTAATCATGAGTTAAAAAGTCTGAGTTTAGAAGATTTTAAATTTAGGTTAGAAAATGTTTCTGAGTCTGACTTGGATAACTAGACTTTTAGCAACAGAATCACATCACAATGGTAATATATCCAAATGTCCACTTTCTAAAGGCTCCCTGTATTGTATAGATTTCTTTGAATCGGTACATTCTCCTTTTTTTTCTCCAAATTTTTATTTAAATTCTAGTTAATTAACATGTAGTATAATATTGGTTTCAGGAGTAGAATTTAGTGATTCATTAGTAGAATTTAGTCATTCATCACTTACATATAACACCCAGGGCTTGTCAGAACAAGTGCCCTTCTTAATACCCATAACGCATTTAACCCATCCCCCCGCCCACCAGTTTGTTTTCTATCGTTAAGAGTCTCTTACGGGGGGCACCTGGGTGGCTCAGTCAGTTAAGCGTCTGCCTTTGGCTCGGGTCATGATCCCAGGGTCCTGGGATCGAGCCCCGCATCGGGCTCCCTGCTTGGCGGGAAGCCTGCTTCTCCCTCTCCCACTCCCCCTGCCTGTGTTCCTGCTCTTGCTGTCTCTGTCTCTGTCAAATAAATAAAAATCTTTAAAAAAAAAAAAAAGTCTCTTACAGTTTGCTTCCTCTCTTTTTTCTTTTTCTTTTCTTCTATGTTCATATGTTTTGTTTCCTAAATTCCACATATAAGTGAAATCATATGGTATTTGTCTTTCTCTGACTGACTTATTTCACTTAATCATAATACACTAGCTCCATCCATGTCGTTGCAAATGGCAAGATTTCATTCTTTTTGATGGCTCAGTAATATTCCTCTGTGTGTGTGTGTGTGTGTGTGTGTGTGTGTTGACTTTGATGAAGTTTCTTGCTAGAAACAAAGGTAACTTTTTTGTTTGGCTTTTAAAAAGTTATAATAACATTTTTAAAAATTTTGCTGAAATGGAAAGTGGTAATGTGAGTGCAATTTAGCAGACTGTTTCTGCTTATTATTGAACTTCTGTTGTTCTAAATAAAATTTCTGTTTCAGGTTCAATTCCAGAAAGTGTCTTAGAGGACATTAAAGGTAAACTAAATTCCCATTTTTGTCCTTTTTATCCTTAAGTATTAGTTTAAAAGGCATGTGTTTCTAGAAATATTTACAGAGGTATAAAATAAGTACATAATATAATCTAAAAATATTTAATATACAGGATAGGCTGTGGAATAATGTAAATAAAATTTTTATTTTTCTTTAGATTTATGGGAGCTTTTGGCATTATTTATGATATCTTATTGAAGAAACTTCTCAATTATAGAGTATACAGGATTACTAGGGAATTAACAGTTTGCACAGTATGAATTAACAGATAAATTGCTCCAGAAAGACACTGGTTTTATGTTGTATAGAGGTTTTTTTACTCTAGTTTTTAAATATTTATTTGTAAAGTCATTTTACTGACTTTGGAAGTTCTAATTTGGGGCCAAAGTATATTGGATTCACTTTACTAGGATATATTACCTCTCCCTTGCTAGAGTGCATTTTTATAATTTTTAAATGGAGTTTTCTGGATTTTTTTTTTTTTTTTTGGTAAGATTGATTGATTTGAGAGAGAGAGAGAGAGCGAGCACAAGCAGGGGGGAAGGGACAGAAGGAGAGGGAGAAGCAGACTCGCCACTGATCAGGACCCTGAGATCATGACCTGAGCCAAAGGCAGACGCTTAACTGACTGAGCCACCCAGGCGCCCCAGTTTTCTGGTATTTTGATTCACTGAAAGAAAAGGCATTTAAAATATAATTTAATATTCTTCAGTACTGAGAATGTCAATGTCAAATTAATAAGAGAATTAAATGAGACCTGGTGATAATCTGTTACAATATTAAGTGATTTGTTCAGTGTCACACCAAAGGTAGAGTTAGAGCCAGGGCTGCAAAATGGATCTTGTTCTTCATTTTATTGTTCACTTACATGTTATAGTTACCTAAAATTTCTTCATTTATTGTAAAACCTGAGTCATTTGTACATGCTTATTGCAGTGGCTTCTTCTGCCAAGTATCTAAGATCTTAAGGGCTAGGTATTTATCTTATATGACAAAGATAGCTATGAGGACTTGAATAAAATAAAAAAATATGTCAGTAGCTTGAACACCTAGCTTACCATCTGGCGTACTGAACACTTAGCTTACTATCTAGCATATTAGCGTATTGGAGATTCTTAATATATTTTGAATTAGTGAATGAGAAGAATTTTATATAAAATAAATATATATTTAACATGTTTTACAAGGAATTAACTCATTAGATTGCATTCAACATCAGTTTTGTTTCTACTTAAAAATTTTTTATTCCTTACCTATTTGTGAAAATAATTTGAAGGAACTTATTATAAAAGATACTTTGTGGGGCACCTGGGTGGCTCAGATGGTTAAGCATCTGTCTTCAGCTCAGGTCATGATCCCGGCATCCTGGGATCAAGCCCCGCATCGGGCTCCCTGCTCAGCCAGAGGCCTGCTTCTCCCTCTCCTACTCCCCCAGCTTGTGTTCCCTCTTTCTCTGTCTCTCTCTATTTTAAATAAATGAAATTGAGAAAAAAAAAAGGTACTTTGCAATAGAAATAAACTTTTAGGGCACCTGGGTGGCTCAGTCAGTTAAGCATCTGCCTTCAGCTCAGGTCATGATCCCAGGGTCCTGGGATCAAGCCCCATATCAGGTGCCCTGCTCAGCAGGGAGTCTGCTTCTCCCTCTCCCCTTGCTCCTCCCCCCTGCTCATGCTCTCTAACTCTCTGTTTCTCTCTCTCAAATAAAATCTTCAAAAAAAAAAAGTAAGAATCTTTGAAAGAATAGATGTTCAAAGTGCAAAAAAAAGGTGATCTAGTAGAAGGAAAATGGTAGTGTTGGGCTGTGCCAAGACGGAGAAAATAATCATGTCAATAAACACTAAACTAAGGAGTGTTACTACAGCTAAGAGCAAAATTTAGCTTTGTGTTCTGACCAACCAAGATTTTTATTTTTGTAAGATTTTATTCATTTATTTGACAGAGAGAGACACAGCAAGAGAGACAACACAAGCAGGGGGAGTGGGAGAGGGAGAAGCAGGCTTCCCGCCAAGCAGGGAGCCCAATGTGGGGCTCGATCCCAGGATCCTGGGATCATGACCCGAGCCGAAGGCAGACGCCCAACGACTGAGCCACCCAGGCGCCCTGACCAACCAAGATTTTTAAAAAGAATCGGATAGATAGATACATAAGATTAGATACAGAGACAGAAATCAGTCTGATTCAAAGAAACATGTTACATTTTCATGATGCTAAAATTTATTTTTATTATGGTACTCTTTATACAGGGAATATCAAAAAATAGTTTCCTCTGGGTGCCTCAGTTGGTTAAGCATCTGCCTTCAGCTCAGGTCATGATCCCAGAGTCCTGGGATCAAGCCCCATATTGGGCTCCCTGCTCAGCAGGGAGTCTGCTTCTCCCTCCCCCTGCTGTTGCACGTGCTCTCTCTCTCTTTCTAAAATAAATAAAATCTTAAAAAAAAAAAAGTTTCCTCAGAGGTGTTTTTTTTATGTGATTTTGTGAAAGATGAATATGCAACATGTCTTATGATTCTGCAATGAATGAAAAAGTTCTTTGTGAATAAATTGTCATAACCAAACTAAAGCCAGGGATAGTTTATAAAATCCAAAAGAATGGATAACTAGCATGTTCACTTGAATAGAATTGTTTTAACTGGACATAGATTGATTCAATCACAAACCATAACAAAGTCTCCTTTTCTTTCTCATAAGTGCGCACTTGCTTTGTAAGTGATCTGAAACGTGGATTAAAAATCCAAGCAGCAAAATTTAATATTGATGGGAATACTGAGGTAAGTTAAAAATAAATATATATTCCTTTTCCAGAGGTTATAACCTATATATTTATGCTTATGATATTTATATTTCAGCGTCCCTCACCACCTCCAAATGTTGACTACCCATTAGATGGAGAGAAGATTTTACATGTTCTTGGATCAATCAGGTAGACCTTAATTGTTATGAGCAAAATAAACTAGAATGAATTTTTGGCCTTTAAAAATATATAAGCCTTTAATATTGCTGATTTAACAATTATGTGTTTTTCATAAGGCCTCCTCATTTATGATTAATTTTATTCAACTTTTTTTTTTTTTAAAGATTTTATTT